TCTCTTCCTGTTCTTGCTGACCCGGAGTCGGACTCCCTTCGTGCTGCCAGTCCTGCTGTCACGCGTCTCCTTGCTACTGTCGTCACTGACCCTTCCTTTGAGTCCGCTGCTGCGTCTACCTTAGTTTCTGAGCTTGTCGACTTCGCTGCTCGCTGTCGCCTAGACTACGCTGCTAGTCTTGTCGCTGAGTCTGAGTCTGTCTGTCCTCCGTCCGTCGGGGGTGAGTGTGCCCTTGGCACAGACGTCCTTGAGGACAGGCAGTTGGAGTTCCAGTGCTTTGCTGCTGCTTCACCTCATCTCGTGTCCATGCTGCTTGCCCCTGAGGGAGACCCGGATGCACCAGACATCCCGACGCCGCGCTCTTACGCGGAGGCGATAGAGGGTCCCTACTCCTCTCAGTGGCAGGCAGCCATGGATGCAGAGATGGCTTCCTGGAAGTCCACAGGCACCTACGTCGACGAGTTTCCCCCTCCTGGGGCGAACATCGTCAGTGGCATGTGGATTTTCAGGGTGAAGCGGCCGCCGGGTTCTCCGCCTGTCTTCAAGGCGCGCTACGTGGCTCGTGGCTTCAGTCAGCGGCAGGGAGTTGACTACTTTCAGACCTTCTCTCCCACCCCGAAGATGACCACTCTTCGGGTACTGCTGCACATAGCCGCTCACCGTGACTACGAGCTTCACTCTCTTGACTTCAGCACTGCTTTCTTGCAGGGCAGCCTGCACGAGGAGATCTGGCTGCGCCGCCCACCTGGCTTCACTGGGTCTTTTCCTCCTGGTACCCAGTGGAGTCTCCAGCGGCCAGTCTACGGTCTCCGCCAGGCACCTCGTGAGTGGCACGACACACTGAGGACTACACTTGCGGCTCTTGGGTTTGCTCCTTCTACTGCCGACCCGTCGCTGTTTCTGCGCACCGACACTTCTTTGCCGCCGTTCTACATCCTCGCGTACGTCGACGACTTGGTCTTTGCCACAGCTGACACTGCTGGACTCGCCCACGTGAAGTCCGAGCTGCAGAAGAGACACACGTGCACAGACCTGGGTGAACTGCGCAGCTACCTTGGCTTGCAGATCACCCGGGACAGAGCACAGCGCACCATTACCCTGACTCAGTCACACATGGTGCAGCAGGTCCTTCAACGCTTCGGCTTCACGTACTCCTCGCCTCAGGCCACTCCTCTGTCTACTCGCCACTCGCTCTCAGCTCTGCCTTCGGATGAGTCCGTAGAGTCGAGTGGCCCGTACCCAGAGCTTGTTGGCTGCCTCATGTACCTGATGACCTGCACTCGACCTGACCTTGCATACCCTCTTAGCATTCTGGCACGCTATGTTGCTCCTGGGAGACACAGACCAGGGCACATGGCTGCAGCGAAGAGGGTGTTGCGCTACTTGTGCAGTACGTCGGGCATGGGGCTTGTGCTTGGAGGGCGGAGTCCAGTGGTCCTCACTGGTCACGCAGACGCTTCTTGGGCTGACGACCAGGCTACGCAGCGGTCGTCACAGGGTTACACCTTCAGCCTTGGTTCCGGCTCTGTTTCGTGGCGGTCTACCCGCTCGTCTTCTGTTCTCGGCTCCAGTTGTGAGGCTGAGATCTACGCAGGGGCCATGGCTGCACAGGAGCTACGCTGGCTCACCTACCTGCTGACTGACCTAGGAGAGCCGCCTCTTTCTCCTCCAGTTCTGTACGTAGACAACAAGGCTATGCTGGCCTTGTGTCGGGAGCACAGACTGGAGCACAGAACGAAGCACATCGCTCTTCGCTACTTCCTTGCTCGTGAGCTGCAGCAGCGAGGTCAGCTGCGCCTTGCTTACGTGGCCTCTGAGGCCAACACTGCTGATATCTTCACCAAGGCACTTGCGCCTTGTGACCATCAGCGCTTCTGTACTCTGTTAGGTCTTGTACCTACCTTGCCTCACTTGCTCACTTCTTGACCTTGCTTGTACTGTTACATATATATATACCTGCTCTTGCTTGTTTAGCGTTATATATATGTGTGTACTCATGCATGTGAACTGGCCTTGTGGCCTTGAACGTGTGCTCAGAATGTATGGTGACGTTGTGATCCACCCTGAGCTTGCTTTGCCTTGCTTTGCTTGACTGGTCTTGTGACCCCTTGTTCTCCCCCACTTTGCCTATGGGGGTGTGTCAAACTTATATGATCTAGCCTGTGTAGGCTGTAGCGGGTTAGATACTAAGGGGTACACAATTCTAGCTTTTCACCTTTTGTATCACTTTCATTCCTTAGTCAATCCATTCTCTCGTTCTAAGTTTCTCATATAGACCTCGCGAAAATTTATGTACCGTTTCAGAACAGGAATAGCACAGTACAGTAGACGAACAGGTACTTTACTCTAGCCATATATTCTGTATGCTTGTCATTTTATAATATATCTGATTTCAGAGACATAGATCCTGAAACATATCACTACATGGGCTTTTATTAAGTCCAGACAAAGCCTTCATAACTGGCTTTAACTCATATAAGACTTCCGCTATGACAGGGAGCTACCATCCTAAGTAGTACGATCCTATTCAATCACTTCAAATTCTAACAAATAGAACGTGTAGGTTGCACCCAAATAAACTCCTATGGCAATGTGACATCTTACCGTATCGCCCCGGATATAAGCGCAGGCCTATTAAAAACGAATGCGCTTATGGCCGATCCTCAATTATAAACGCACCCCCTGTAAAACCCTGTTTTATTATAAGCGCATGCATAATTTTTTATTTAAAACCTGCTAAACACAGTAAAGAGTTTCAAAATTGAAGCAAGCCAAATTTCTTAATCGCTTCGTTTGACTCGCGAAGACCTCAGAAGATGCTCGTCAGGTCAAGATGTGCTGGCATAGGGGCAAACTGACGTGTCTTTGCCCCCTGTGTGTTGGAAAAAAATCAGTAGCGCACGATTCTGATTCCTGGCGCTATAAATTTTTGCCTCGATTGGAATGGTATGACTGAGATGAGAAGTATATTTTGATGCTATAAAATTATATATCTGTATCTGTCATTATATAAGCGCATGCGCTTATAAAAACGACTCGATTAGAAGCGCACCCCCCTAAAAAACCCTGCTTTATGTCGTGATAGTGGCATAAGTAGTTAGGTTTAAGTGGGCCTAGGCTTAGTAGCCTAGGCCAAAGGGGGTCGAGCTAGTTTGTGCCAAGGAGGGAGAGTCGAGAAAAAGAGAGGAGAATGAATGTTCACTATAGCACTAGGGTACATATAGCAAACAAATAGGTGCACCACCTATAAAGTTAATATCTACACTACAGCTATAACTACATGCAGATATAAGAATATAATTCTGACATCCCCCCGTAACTGCATGCAGGAATAGCTAAGTGTAGAACACAACCTGCAGGGGTACACCACAGATAGAGAAAACAGCAACAGCAGGCAAGGTAACAGAGCAGTTACAGCAGCAAAGGGGCAGGCACTCCTGCCACCCCTTTACTCTCCTCCCCCCCCCCCCCCCCCCACCTCAGAGGGACGGGGGCTGGTTGGTCTCACACCCGCCGCCCCAATGCCACTCCCCTGGCTCCCCCACACCCTCACACCCTCCCCCTAGCGGGAGCTGCAGCAGTGGGAACGAAAGGAGGAGGAGGGGAAGGGAAACACACCACCCATCACCCCCACACTCGCCACCCCCAAACCCCAACACAGGGCAGGGCCGTAGTAGGGGCGGCAGCAGGGTAGGGCCGGGACAGGGCCGGGGCAGGACGGCAGGGCAGGGCAGGGCCGCAACGAAGACGGGAGGGGCCGACGCGCGGCCCCCCAGGGCGCCGTAACGGGCGACAGAGGGGGCGACGCACGACCCCCCCCAGGTCCCCCAGGGCGCCGCGACGGGCGACGGGAAAAGGCGGGGGGGGGGGGGGGGGGGGGTGCGCGGGCCCTCGGTGCGCCGCAACAGGCGACGAAACCGCCGCACGCCTCGGGGCGCACGACGGGCAGGGCACCGTCGCGCGCCACGGGGCGCACGACGGGCAGGCAGGGCACCGTCGCGCGCCACGGGGCGCACGACGGGCAGGCAGGCAGGGCACCGTCGCGCACCACGGGGCGCACGACGGGCAGGCAGGGCAGGGCACCGTCGCGCACCACGGGGCGCACGACGGGCAGGCAGGGCACCGTCGCGCGCCACGGGGCGCACGACGGGCAGGCAGGCAGGGCACCATCGCGCACCTCGGGGCGCACGACGGGCAGAAAAACAGCGCGCGCCCGAGGCGCGCGATAGGCAGGACAGCAGCGGAAGACTTGGTGGGCCCATCAACAGGATCGACCCAGGAGGGTCGACCTGCTCTGATACCATGTCGTGATAGTGGCATAAGAAGTTAGGTTTAAGTGGGCCTAGGCTTAGTAGCCTAGGCCAAAGGGGGTCGAGCTAGTTTGTGCCAAGGAGGGAGAGTCGAGAAAAAGAGAGGAGAATGAATGTTCACTATAGCACTAGAGTACATATAGCAAACAAAGAGGTACACCACCTATAAAGTTAATATCTACACTACAGCTAGAACTACATGCAGGTATAAGAATATAATTCTGACACTTTATTATACGCGCAGGTAATACAGTACCTGGTATTTTACAAGCAAGGTCAGACATACAAATCTCACTCTTACATGATTGAAAAAAGAACGAAACTCAATGCAGAGTTTCCTAGAAAGTCAAACACTGGCTAACACACCACTACCCTGCACCCTAATCACTACCAATCCTGTGACTGCAAGAGTACGTGGTCTCTGGAAAAGCCACAGCCTTGCTGCAATTGCAGCACCATGAAGGTGCAATTTCGGAAGAGGAAGGCGCACCTACAAAGCCACGGTGCCTGCAGCACCATACACTGTGACTGCAGTTTCCCGGCTTACAGTTTCCTGCCAACTCTCGAGTTCAGAACTGTAGGCCCCTCAACCTTTCACTGTTGTCCGCACTGTGAGCTGAGCAGCTTGAGTCGACTGCAAAATGAGGCTGCTACTCCACTGTGAGTGGCTGTGAACGGTGCAACTAGCCGCTAGTGGCTGTGCAGCAGCAGCTTGAGGGTGTGGTTGGGCGTGAGGTGCTTGTGAGAGAGGGGTTGGCCGGTGCGCGGCGAGACAGAGTTGGTGAGAAGCCAGCGCTCGATGCTGCTGCGCTTGTAGGTGAACCCGTCCGCTGCCACCACTGGGTCTGTCATTCGCTTCTGGGAAGGGGGGGTGGGGAGAGGGGGGGATGGCACATGGGGAGGACGGGAATTTGAGGCCTATTCAAGAGCGATGGAGCAGGTGAGCAGCCAGTGCTCGATGCTGCTGCGCTTGTAGGTGAACCCCTCAGCTGCCAACACTGGGTCGGGTCTATCATACGCTTCTGGGAGAGGGGAGGAGGGACGGGAGGGGGGGGGGGGGGGGTGGGGGGAATGGGTCGGGAGAGGATGAGAAAGGCAGCGGAATGGGGAGGGATGGGTTGGCGGTTGACCAGACAGCTGCCACCACCTTTTGAGACGTCTCAAAAGACAGCTGCCACCACTGGGTCCGTCGCCTGTTTCAATAAGAGCGGGAACGAGAGGAGAATCAAGTGCATGGGGACCGAGCGTAAACGAGAGGTGAGCACGACAAACGGTGATTTTAAGCTGTCTCAAAAGCTGCAACCACCGGGACTGCCACGCACTCAAAAGAAGTTACAGAGGGAACAACCCTCGCCTGCAACAGCAAACACATGCACTCATGTAGGACGACCAGGTTTGTCACGCCCTCATTAGAAGATAGTAAGCGAGGGGCAACACTCACCTGCGACAGCGGGCACATGCACTGCTCGTCGAAGCTCCTCCTCCTCTTCCCCATCTCCCCCTCCGCCTCCTCCATCACCTCACCCATCGCCGGCTGCACCACCTCCACCAGGTTCGGCCGAGCCTCCCGCTGCCGAACCGCACACCGGAGCGCCAGCTCCGTCAGCTTCCGAGCCACAGGCAAGGGCCACTGGCCCCCCGAACCATCAACCTCCCTCACTATCTCCTCAACAGTCCGAGCCAGCACCCTCGTACTATCCATCTCTACCGATTGAAACCCAACTCCACGCATGCCCACCCCTCCCAACCCTACCCCACCCATGCTCTTCCCTATCCACTCCTGCATCCGCCCCAGCCTCCTGTGTAACTCTTTCACATTCGGCTCTCCCAGCAGCAGCTGCAGCGCTATCAGCCCAAACGCATACACATCTGAAAGAACCGAAATCTCACAAGTCTCCAGCTCCTCTGGATCGATATACCCCACTGTGCCTCTCACCCGCGCGGTTACATTTTCCACGTCGCTGAGTAACCGTGCAAGGCCCACGTCGGCCACTTTAGAGGCGAGGCTTGTATCGAGGAGAATGTTGTCGGGCTTTAAGTCGCGGTGCGCGATGGGCGGGTCGTTCTGGTGGAGGTACATCAGCGCACCGGCCACCTCAGATAAGATTCTCACCCGGTCAAACCAAGTCAACGGCTTTCTCCCACCCCGGCCGCTCCCCCCTCCCCCACTGCCACCACCCACACCACCCACACCACCCGCACCAACCACACCACCCACACCACCCGCACCAACCACACCACCCACACCACCCGCACCACCCGCACCACCCACACCACCCGCACCTCCCATACCACCCCCACCACCACCCTTGCTGTTCCCAGCAGCAATCACATCAAGACAATCCTGCAAGCTCCCTCCAGGCAAGTACTCATACACGAGGCTCATCTCATCAGGGCAGTGACCCATGAGCAGCACTATATGCGGGTGGCGCATCCGAGACAACACCTCCACCTCCATTCTATACTCCGCACTGCCCTGCCACCCGCCGCCTTCCAGGCGTTTCACAGCCACCATGCATCCCAGCAGCCGTCCCTTGTACACCGTGCCGAACGAGCCTCGGCCGAGCCTGTTTTCTGCTGCCCAGTGGTCGGTGGCTTGGGTGAGCTGGTCCGGGGAGAACTGGCGGCATTCCACTGTGGCTCCTGCTGTGGGGAGAGGTGAAATGCCTCCGCCTGTGACGGTCCCGCTGCTGTTGCCTCCGCATGGAGAATCGCCCAGAGGGAGGCATCCGGACCCACCACCGCTGCTGCTGCTGCCCTTCCTACCTTTGCTACCCCCGCTTCCGTCGCTGCTGTCGTTGCTGCCCCCGCCGCTGCTGCCAGGCCTGCCTGCACCAGCAGTGCTTCCAGCCGCAGCAGAAGCAGCGGCGGCGGTGGTGGCGGCGGCAACAGCAGCAGAGGCGTCAGCAGCACAGGCGGGCACGCGTGGTCTGATGAGCGTCTCGCCCTCCTCGTCGTCGCTCTCATCGTAAGCCGCCAGCTCGTCTTTCAGTGACATGAGAGACCCGCTCCCTCCCCCCACCGCCCTCACACGCCTTTCTGCTGCTCCTGCTGCTGCTCCTGCTGTTGCTCCTGCTGCTCCTGCTGCTCCTGCAGCTCCTGCTGCAGCGGTCACACGCTGCAAGCCGCCGCTCCAAGAGCCCATCGGTTTTTGAGGCGCCTCAAAAGTCACCCCTCCACCCACACTGCAACCTGCCGCTCCCAGAGCTCATCGGCCGTGGGCCGGCTTTTTGAGTCGATTCAAAATGTCCAGACTTTTGAGGCGTCTCAAGCCTCGCCTCCACCCCTCCACCCACACTCTGCAACCCGCCACCCCCAGAGCTCGTCGGCCGTGGGCCATAGTCCAGAAGCTTCCTCCCTCTTCCTGTGGGAGCCGGCTCATACGCTTGCCCGCCCTCTGCTCTGCCTGTACCCGCCGATTCATACGCTTGCCAAACCTCTGCTCGGCCTGCAGGAACCGGTTCATATTCAGATATGCTGTCCCTCGTTCTGCTCCTCTGGACTGCGAGGCCCAGCCCTCCCGCATCCCCTCCCTTGCTCCTGCTCGTCTCACTCCCTCTCTCATGCAGAACCGCGCTGCTGCTGCCGAACCTCCCATCACCGGACCTCCCATCGCCGGACCTCCCATCGCCGGACCTCCCATCCCAGGGACCTTTCCCAGCTGACGCGGGTCTGCCGTTGTCAAAGGAGCGTCGACTAATCACCTTCATTTTCTGCTCAGATCTTCCAGAAGCGACTTTCGCTTCATTTGATTCTTTTGATTCTTTCTTCTGCTGCTCGGCCTGAATCTGCAGCCAGTCCTGGGATTCGTGGGAGGAGGTGAAGCGGATACCGTGAGAGCTGAAGTGCGGGTAAAGGTTCCGAAGCTGGTCCGGTTTGGATCCCAGGTTGTTGGCCCATGATGCTGATTGGCCGCGCGGCTCTGCTGCTGCTGCTGCTGCTGCTGCTGCTGACGTGTCGCTGTCTGCCCACAGTCGGCGCGCTGCTGGGCCGATGGGTGGAGCCGCCGCCAGGTCAGATGTCGCCACGTAAGTGGGTCGTGATTGGTTGGTTGCTGAAATGTCCAAGGAGCGACGACCGGAGAAGTCCGATTGATGCTGCTGTTTATAAGGGTGCGAGCGGGGAAGAGAGACGAATGGGAGGGGGAGAGGACAGACGAGCGAGAGGAAGAGGGAGAGGGAGGGAGAAGCGAATGGTTAAGGGACCAGGAATAGAAAAACACGCCTGACGCTGTAGAAGGGTGTGAGGAAGAGAGACGAGACGAGGGAGATGGAGAGGGGGAGAACGGGAAAGAGAGCGTCGAGCAGCATTTTCAAGACTGACAGTGCGATGACGGCAGGAGTGAGGGAAAGAGTCGGGGGGAGGGCGGGAGGGAAGAGAGAGAGGAAGGAGAGGAGCGTCAGGTAAAGAAAGCGACGGTGGGTGCATGCGCGACGGGAGAGACGTGAGTCACGTGATGGGTGCGCGGGGTGCGTCAATGATAGAGTGAGTGCGGCGCGTCTGGCTTGCTTCGTTCAGACTTCTCTTGTTTCCAATACTGATTTATAGAGCAATAAACTGTAGCAAGTCGCGTCTTTCGATAAAACCATTCGCCTCAGCCTGATAAATCAACAGATGACGGGCCAACTACCAAATCACAAGACAGAAAAAAAAAAAACAAACAAACAAACAAACAAAAACAAAAACAAAACAAAACAGAGTAGAAACATCGGCGTACCGAGGGAGAAGCTCGTGCCGACGGAAATAGCTGCGAATCGTCGAAGGCGTCACCGCGCTTCCGAATAACCACCGGCTTTTCCGCTGAGTGATGCGCATCGCCGCCGTTCGGACGCGAAACACCACCACTTGCGCTGCTACTACTTTTTATCGGCGACAAAGCGCTGTTCGGCGACACCTGGCTTTCCGACGAACCTCCGCCGATTCCGGCCGTGCTTTGGGGTCCTGAATATCCTCCTACTACCTGCGACGCAGCTGGAATGGACGAATGCGCGATGGGGACGACGCGAGACTCGTCTGCTAACGAGCCTGTTCTTAGATGTGCGAAATCCCGTGGGCCCTCTGGTGACAGCAGTCGATTGCTGTCGTCGTTCCTTAAACCCTCCGCGCTTCGCCATGCGACAGGGGACATGAGGACATCATTGGCTAAGGGAAGCAACAGAAGCTAAATGGGACTTCACACCGGGAAAGATGGACGGAGGGAGGAGGAACGATGGAACGAAGAATGACAATGAGTGAATGAAAGAATGTGCTGCTCTGGATATCGAGTGTGGTGAAAGGGAAGGAGGTCCTCCAAGATGGTGAGGTGGGGTGACACGAGGGAGGAACCATGCGTAGCAGCTGCTTTCACCATGACATGGCTGAGACCTCGAGCTACGCCTTGTCCTTCACTGTCCTGTCTAGCATTTCAAATATGGGTTCACCCAAAAAGCCCCAGAGAAAAATAATTTGTTGACATCTGAGGAAGGTGAGTGAGAGGACTGTTGGGGCGGGAAATGAAATTCCTGCCTCAAAAGTTTGGTGCGAACGAACGAACAAACTGCGTCGTCCAGTTACTTGGCAGTGTTGCGTCTCGTTACACGCCACCATTCCTTGTGGCCATCCATGGCGTTTCAGTTTTTACATTTGGCATTTTGCCTGATTGCTGCTGGTGCTGCCGCGGCAAAACGATTCCGGGCACCTAACGAAAATCATGATCAACATCAACGTCAGATTGTGGCCTGGAAAACAATCTTGCCTTGATCCTATAAAGTGCGGTCCTCCACTACAGTACACGACAAATGGACTGGAAAGTGAGCCTAGAAGAATCTGATGATCGGGAATTGGGAGGGACGTGCTTGTACGAATATCGAACCCTGTCTTCCCCAAAATGATTGAAGACACTTCGAATGTTTGTAGAGCAACTTCGTTGTCTGAATCCTTCCGTGTTGCTGGTGGGGTGAGGTAGCGAACCAAAGTGTCAACGCGATAGTGTTCCAGCCCCATCGCTACAGCTAAGCACCTACCACTGCGGCAGATCTTCGGCAGATAAGAACGAGTTCCTATATCCGTTGGTCGACGCAACCATCTTCGTGGAGCAACCTCACACCTGTTGTAGAGGCTTCTCCTCTACTTTGCAGGAACTTGGATTTGTACTAATCAGTAGAGCACTGTCTTAGCTTTCCAACGGGCCGTGGATCACCTCTATCGCCTAAGTATCGAACGAGATATGGCTACTAATGTGAAAGCTATGCTCTATGTTGAAGGATTGGAAACTCTATTGAATTTGTGTTCGAATGTACTTCATACAAAGTGATTCACAATGTTCAGTATATTCCATGCAATACAAAGCAAACAAATTTATATGAACTGCAATGCATCGAGTCGCACATGTAACCTCGAGTCGCTACACTCTCGAATGTTCGAGTAACATTTCGAAGGGGTGAAATTCGGAACTCGAATTTCACCGAATCGAATTCTCCTTCAGTCTCGATTCTTCTTGTGCTGCCATGTGGCACCGAAGTGATGGAGTCTTCCGAAGTCAAACTTCAACCCCACGCAAACCTGCAGCTCACTCGAAGGTGAGCACCAAAAACAGCACCGCTTGGTGGTTGGGGGCAAAACCGCCCCACGCAACCTCCAACAACACCTACGGAGAAGGAGATCCCAGGGTCTGCCAGCTAAAGAAATCTCTCTACGGCATAAAACAGGCGCCGCGTCTCTGGCAGCAGCACCTACACAAGATACTTATGGAGATCGGCTTCAGGCAGCTGCCGCACGACCTGGGAATGTACCGCCTCCACTTCAACGGCGATTACATCCTTATGACAGTCTACGTTGACGACCTGCTGTACATCAGCACCTGCAACAAGCTCTTGGACCAGTTCGAAGCAAACCTGGCGCAACACGTTGACATTGTCAGAACATTATAGCTTATACATTTGTGTAGGCTGTAGTGGGGTAGCCCATAAGGGGTACAACCCAATTAGGGTTAGTACTTGTACCCAACTGTTTGCTAACATGGTTTCAGAGCAGGTCCCCTAGGACCGGTTTGTTTTTGGGCCCACCACCTACTGCCCTGCTAACCTAGGCCCGCGCCCGTTGCCCCTAGGCCCTGGCCCGTCGCCACCCCTAGCCCGGCCCGTCGCCCCTTGGCGTCGCCCCTAGCTTCTACCTCGGCCCCTTGGCCCCGTTGACCCCGTCGCCCCTAGCTCGGCCCCTCGGCCCGGTCGGCCCCGTCGCCCCTAGCCGCGACCCCATCGGCCCTGTCGCCCCTAGCTCGGCCCCTCGGCCCCGTCGCCTCGGCCCCTTGGCTCCGTCGACCCAGTCGCCCCTAGCTCGGCCCCTCGGCCCCGTCGGCCCCGTCGCCCCTAGCTCGGCCCCCGTCGCCCCTAGCTTCGCGGCCCCCCGTCGCCCCTAGCTTCGCGACCCCTGGCGCCCCTAGCTTCGCGATCCCTGGCGCCCCTAGCTTCGCGTCCCCCCGTCGCCCCTAGCTTCGCGACACCCCGTCGCCCCTACCTTCGCGACCCCCCGTCGCACCTACGGGCCCCGTACCCAGTACCCCGTCGCGGCCCCGTACCCAGCCCACGCCCGGCCCAGTACCTGCCCAGCGCTCGGCCCCGTACCTTGTTTGGCCCCTCGGCCCTGCCCCCTAGGCCCCTCGGCCCCTAGGCTCGGCCTCCTCGGCCCCTAGGCTCGGCCTCCTCGGCCCCTAGGCTCGGTCTCCTCGGCCCCCTAGGCCCCTCGGCCCGGTACCTGCCCAGCGCCCGGCCCCTTGTTTGGCCCCTCGGCCCCGCCTCTCGGCCCCTCGACCCCTAGCCTCGGCCCCTAGGCTTGGCCTCCTCGGCCCTCGTGTTTGGCCCTTCGGCCCCCTAGGCCTCTCGGACCCCCTAGGCCCCTCGGCCCATCGGCCCCTCGGCCCCGTACCTGCCCAGCGCCCGGCCCCCTGTTTGGCCCCTCGGCCCCGCCTCTCGGCCCCTCGGCCCCTAGCCTCGGCCCCTCGGCTCGGCCTCCTCGGCCCTCGTGTTTGGCCCCTCGGCCCTCTTGTTTGGCCCCTCGGCCCCCTAGGCCTCTCAGCCCCCCTAGGCCCCTCGGCCCATCGGCCCCTCGGCCCTCTTGTTTGGCCCCTTGGCCCCTTAGCTACTGCTACCTCTGCTCCTGAGTCCTGTGCCACTATGGCCTCGCTTAGAGTTCTCCCGTTCGACCCGGAGGGCAGACCTGTAGCATTTGACACGTGGCACGACGATCTGCAATAGTACCTACTGAGCGATAGTAAGGACAGTGTCTCACTGTTTGACCACGTGTCCGGTGCCGCTCCAGCCCCTCCCGCCACAGCTAACGTTTCGACTCGTTCCCAGTGGCTGTCTCGTGACGCTACTGCCCGCTTGGCCATTCGCAACCACCTGCCCGCGACCGAATGTGCTCACTTTGGCGAGCACAGGACAGCACAGGCCTTGTACGACGCTGTCGTTGCTCGCTACTCCTCCCCTGCCACTGCTGCTATTGGCAGGCTGCTACTGCCCTACCTGTTCCTTGAGCTGTCGGCTTTTTCCACAGTAGCGGACCTGGTTACCCACCTGCGCACTAGTGACACTCGCTACCGCGCTGCCGTCCCTGCTGAGTTCCTTCCCACGAACCAGCCCCCCATGTTCATCACCCTCTACTTCATAGTCACTCGCCTCCCTGACTCCCTTCGCTCTGTCAGGGACCACTTCCTCACCCTCGACCCCACCTC